TCGCACTTTTGTTGAAAAAGCAGCTAAATTTTGAAGCTATATGTTTTACCATGCAATTTATATCGACGCAGCAGGGTCCCGTACGGCTTTCCATAAAAATGTGTAGTGCGTCTGCGTCAACTTGATATGCTAATGTGCGTCGTCGACTACTAGCAAAAAATGCGACTGCGTCAACTTGAAAATGCTAATGTGCGTCGTCGACTACTTGCAAAAATGTGTCTGCGTCAACTTGAAATAAAAAAAGGAAAGTCACCTAGGGGGCTCGTTTTGCGTCGACAACTTGAAAAGTGCAAGTTGCGTCGTCTACTAGGGGGACTTGTTTGCTTCGACTACTTGGAAAATGAAATGTCGTCATCTAGAAATTAAGGAACCGCATCAACGACAAATACGCTGTAGTGTGTTAGTGACTTCCACAAATCATCACCCGTTAAATCGCGACTACTACAACTCGCTTTGCGACAACTACTAATTAATTAGCGACGACTGTGAATAAGTTTTGTGCTGATTGCTACTACTCCAATTTGTAAACGTAGACATCGGAAATCGCATATTTGTTGAAGAAGCAGCATAATTTTGAAGCTATATGTTTTACCATGCAATTTATATCGACGCAGCAGGGTCCCGTACGGCTTTCCATAATATGGAAATTGTCGTCTATGAGTAGTCTAATTGTCATTCATGGGTAGTCTAATTGTCGTCTATGAGTAGTCTAATTGTCATTCATGAGTTGTCTAATTGTCTTTCATGGGTAGTCTAATTGTCGTCTATGGGTAGTCTAATTGTCGTCTATGGGTTGTCTAATTGTCGTCTATGGGTAGTCTAATTGTCGTCTATGGGTAGTCTAATTGTCGTCTATGGGTAGTCTAATTGTCGTCCATGGGTAGTCTAATTGTCGTCTATGGGTTGTCTGATTGTCGTCTATGGGTTGTCTAATTGTCGTCTATGGGTTGTCTAATTGTCGTCTATGGGTAGTCTAATTGTCGTCTCTGGGTAGTCTAATTGTCGTCTATGGGTAGTCTAATTGTAGTCTATGTGTAGTCTAATTGTCGTCTATGAGTAGTCTAATTGTCGTCTATGGGTTGTCTGATTGTCGTCTATGGGTTGTCTAATTGTCGTCTATGGGTTGTCTAATTGTCGTCTATGGGTAGTCTAATTGTCGTCTCTGGGTAGTCTAATTGTCGTCTATGGGTAGTCTAATTGTCGTCTATGTGTAGTCTAATTGTCGTGTGAGACCTTTATGTTTACATTGTCGTCTATGGGTTGTCTAATTATCGTCTATGGGTAGTCTAATTGTCGTCTATGAGTAGTCTAATTGTCGTCTATGGGTTGTCTAATTGTAGTCTATGTGTAGTCTAATTGTCGTGTGAGACCTTTATGTTTACATTGTCGTCTATGGGTTGTCTAATTGTCGTCTATGAGTAGTCTAATTGTCGTCTATGGGTTGTCTAATTATCGTCTATGTTACGTATGTGTAGTCTTATTGTCGTGGGAGACCTTTATTATAGCTCATTTCTCGATGCTCTACATCATAGGCTGATTAGACGACTTCAACTGCGACATGGCAACTATAATTTAAATTGATAGATACAGTGAGTACACAGGAAATCGAGTGTGCTTTATTTATTTGGCGTATAAACAGTTCAGAGGTCGTTTGAAATGCTGTATAACCTGAAGTCAAACTAAAATATGTCTAAGACATAATATATTATACTTAAACTTAAAATTAGTCACGAATCATTCTGATTAAAATAAGACCGTGGTTGGCTTATTTTTTTTTTACATTTTGTTCATATAATTACTATAATTATTATTCATTTTAACTATTTTTTGACGTTACAATTATTTTGATGCAAGAATTGTTTTGTTTGTGAAAGCCACCGGGTAGCAAATTTATTGTAAAAACAACTAATTATAATTAAAATTAATAATTGAAAAAAATAAGCCAATCAACGAAACTGTTTTGTTTTTGTTTCTTTCCGCAATAATAATGTGTTGTACATTGTATACGTATTATCCAACGTATTGGCACTAGCAATACTCACCTATGCATCCCACTGATTCGCTTTGCGGCATTTAACTGAAAATTAATCGCTCAACCACAACTGTTATTGACATTGAAACCAGTGGAAGGTAGTATGGCCTACAACCTGCCACAGATGACCTATCAGCTGTCGTTGGAATGTACAGTGGAAATGGAGAATCCATTTTAGACGTCATGTCGAAACCCACATGTACGTGCACGTGACTGCTCGTCGTCATAGTAACAACAAAAGGATATACCGAAATTAAAATGGGGTTGTTTGTAAAAATCAAACATGTTTTACAATCCATCTTTCAGTTTTCGGTATTTTATATCCTTATTTGTTTCAACCGAAAATTATGCCCGGTAATTAAATAGATACGTAATGACTGAGTAATGGTTGCTCCTGGAGCAGTGAGCTATGGTTTCGAATGTTAGTGTCACATGTGGTACAAACCAGAACTGAAAGTGAAATTGTTGAGTCACAGTTTTCCCTATCAGATACCTTGTTTCATCAAAAACTGTAAAGTCCGATGTTCTGAAAGTCCTATGTTCAGAGTTTTGTTGAGAAAGAAACCCTCTTTAAAAAAAAACAAGACAATTTTATAACACATTGGTAACACATTCAGTAACTCTACCGCATTTCGGAAAAAAATTATAATGAAAATGAAAATAATATATAAAGGGTCGACCACTTATTATTTTAAATCTAACGAGATTTTCAAGGAAATCTTAAACAATGATCAAGTAATCATTAACATTTGGCATAAAATTTCTTAGTTTTTGACCTGGTAAAAGTGAAATAGGCAGGTTTACCGGATCTCTCGCCAGAGGTGTTACCTGTATGCAGATTAGAGACATAATGTTCAGCTTCGTTTTAAATTAATTGTTCACGTTTAGTCAGAATGGGGTTAAATCAGGACGAAGTTAACCTGTGGCTAGTCTGACATGTAGGCGTGAGTAGCGCCTACTAATACGCCGGCCGAACGGCACCAGGCCCCACTAACTTGTGTTGGGTTTGGAGTACCGCGGAGGGCGCAACACACGCGATCTTGTCAGGCAGACCTGTGGCGGATAGATAATTCTTATCACGCTTGGAATTATAATCTAATCGTTTGCACACTTCCGTCCGTAACCGACACTGTACATCAATATCGAAAACTATAGCGTTCAGGAAAAAACAATATTGTATCTTAACGTCCGTATACATAAATCTAGCTTATTTTAAACGCCACTAGAATTCCAAATTAAGCTTAAATTTCTCAGCAGTGTCGACATGAATTAAAAACGCGCATGAATTATTATCTAGTGGCCAGGGGAATATAACATTGGAAGCTCATAGCTCACTGTTCTTCTAATTCACTGATTTGAATCAACTTTCATTGAAATTTATTATTTTGACGGATCATTGTACCAGTAAATGCCTAACTAGTTTGGTATTAAAGCAGGAGGATCGTCACCTGCGCATGCGCGGGAATTGAGTCCTAAGCGACGATAACAACACACGCTAAAAACGCAAAGGCTAATGGGTGACTCTTGTTTGTAAACAAGACGACTCCCGGACCCCCGCTTTGAGGATTTAATAAAATAAGGAATGCAACGCCATGTACTCATGTACGGTGATATGCGATAAAGATGAATTATCGTTATTTGCGAAACTATTCAGCATTGTGCATTGTCTGATTGTTTCTCGTGATAATAATTCCATCAGAATTCGTAATTCACACACGGTGGTGTTATCGCGGTCACTCTAAAATATTAGTAATGTCATGAACTTATTATCATAGTACAGTCATTATTTCGCCGGTATGAGACTGAGCAAACAACTATTGGTTTGGATATAAAGGAACCAATAATGTTATCCGACAAATAATAATAATAATTTAATAATATTTTTTTAGTATGCTTATACATTCCTCGGATGGACTGGCAATGGTCACAAATGTTTGAGAAAGAATAAAAGGTTAAAAAGTTAAGCTAATACATTACAAAACAATAATATTAAAACTAAACTGTTATGCTATAGAAAACAAAATGCAAAACTTAAACACTGAAAGAGGATTGTTACTGGGGTTTGCTGTCTTATTTCAAAACACTTCTTTAGGTACCTTGCTACAGGGAGTGTTAGACCACTGTTGTTTAGCAAGGTTATGAATTGTGCCTTTGGTGGCATATTTTGAGAGTTTGGGGTTATAGTTTTTGCCATTTCAAATAGGACATTTCTTTCGGGGGTACAACTTTTGCATGACATCATTAGGTGATATTCATCTTCTATTTGATTTTGATCACAAAAGTTGGCTTGTCTGTGTTTTAGCATTTCATTGCATATTTTATCTTGACTCGAAGCTTTTTTATTTTTCAACAGGTTAATTATTTTTTAATATTTCGCCTTTTAGAATTGGACCGTTCGAGTCAGAATTACAGGGCATGTGTTCTTCTTTGTCTATAAAGTTACGTGCATGATTTTGAATAGTATTTACATTTACTCGCAATACATGTCCAACGACCTTTGACCTCTGATACTAACACTCCCATAATGCTCAGCAAATTCAAGATGGCGGCGTCCATAGCCACGAGAATCCTCGTTTCCCAGAAATTCAACATAACACAGCTTTGCCGGGCATTCTCGACGTTAGTGACGACAAAAAACTCATTTTTTAGACACAGGCCAGCACATACAGGTGTGCTGTCATTTACAAGGTAAAGATGACACTGTCTTTCAAATCACCTACCTGTCTACTTGAACTTCGTCGACGATCTGTGCAACGGGTCATTCCAGTTTGTATCCACACCCCCTACATGGATGGTTATAGTAAAAAATGTACCCCTCGGATTAGTATTTGATAACTCCTCCCTGGAAATATACAACGTTGTTTCAGCACCCGGAAAACATTTTTTTTTCCAATACCCCCCCCCCCCCGATGATCATTCCCCAAAATGTACCACACGGAATTAACAGTCAGAAATTTACCCCTCAGATTTAACATCTAACTGAATCGATTAATCTAATACAAACTGCATTAATCCAACCCTTCGGAAGCCCTTAGTAAAATCATCACCCTGTGGAATTCATTTAAGGTGACCCCTCCTCCCGGAACAAAAAAAGTACATTATTTTATACCCTCCGGAATTATACCATCCATATGGGGTGTGTTGATACAAACTGGAATAACTCAACAGTCACTTGGGTGACTGTTTAGTTCGCCCCTTAGTTAACTGACCCCCCCCCCCCCAGTCATGTGTACCAAAAAAACGAGGGTAGGTAAAATGTTGTGGGCATAATTGTGCTTACCGACTAGACGGGCAATCATTGCTGAAAACGATCAGCAGGAATTCGCATCGAATAAACAATGTACTACCGGTAATAGAAGAATGTATAGGCAATGCCTGGAAAACGAGCGCTACTGCATTTGCATTTTGTTTTAATCACGAGCATGAACCATTTTTATGCAATTTCTAGCCTTGTTCTGTTGCTACAGTCCTGTGTACTTGTTTCCACAAAACTGACCAGTTGGCCGCACAAATATGTTGTTTTTTTTCATTACAGTTTTCATACTACCTTCCAGAATAATGGATTAGAAGAATTTTTTGAAGAAAAAAAGAAAATTGGGGAAATTGAAGTGAAATCAGGACGATCATGGGAATTGGGTGAACTTAGAATTAAAGACAGTGTTACATTACATAAATTGTGGTAAGTCACAATATCAGTTTTCTAACTGGCGTTGAATAAAGGGAATGTCTGGCCAAGCCTCAGTTAGCACATCGCCTGCTTGAAAGCTTCCTTCGGAAAACCAGCAGGCATTTAACCTAAATAGGGGCCAAACATATGTCACTTTTTTGTGTGTCAAAGCCAAAATCTGAAGAAAATTATGGATGTATTTTAAATGAACAAGGAGTCCATTTTGTCAGTATTAGATCACTGGGTTCTGTGATATTCTGGGGTGGACCCAGGGCAAAAGCACGCACATACACAGTACAATGACAAGACACAAACATGACCAAGGCTTATAGAATACTGACCACATTTTATTGAATTACATTTCTTTTTTAACGGTGCATACCCGATGTACTGGCATAACCAGGTGTACATTTAATTAGCATATCAATAGTGTGTACAAATCACTACACGTTCTATGGTGGAGATATTATGCCATATCTCAAATTGTAATGTGGTGACATAAGGTGAACGAATTATGTACAGTGACTGATGAGGTACTTTTTTTATCCTGAATTACTTCAAAATCTGGATTTGTGAAAAGAGCTGCAAAACTCATTTTGCTTCAACATTGTGTTCTAGAAATGTTTTAAAAATACCACTTTTTGAATAATTTTGACCCACGTATTTAATGGGACCGATTATAGCTACATTATTGGGTTTTATGACAAGCCTTCTTTGAAAATATAAGTAGACTTCTGCTCAACTGGAGTTTGGATTTATCTGATCAGTCCCCATTCAAATGCAGTTTGAAAATGATTTATTATTTGACCTCTATACGTTCATATCCAGCAGTATATCACACATGCTTGGACAGATCAAGCTTTATATCAACATGCACATGCATTTGTTTCATGAGCTAATTCAAGATGGCTGAATGACTGTCATTTTAAAGTAAAAAATTCATTAAAATCACATATCTCAGTCTTACACATATCTCATTTTATAAATTTGGTTTAAAATGTATATATTAACATATATTAAACACGATGGGCTGTCATTTTATTTTTTGAATGAAATTCAAAATGACTGGCTACCATTTTGTTTTAATGAATGCAGCTCTCAATCCATATATTCAATATACCTGGCCACTCAAGTTCAAACTTCATTCATACATCAAACATACATTGTATCTGTCAAATGTGAATGCATTTTTGTTGCCGACTGATGCTCATCTTATTTAAGCAAAGGTAGTTCCATAGAACCATATCTCATGCATGCCTGAACCAATCACATTTAAACTCCACATGTACCAGTACATCACACATCAGTTCATACATCTCGTACTTATAGTACAAATAGGGACTATGACTTTGGCGTTGACTTGTAGTTTATGCCAACAAATAATGACGTGTACAAAATTTCCATAATCATAAACCTTGTTGTGATTTCTGTGCAAAATATATTACTTCCTGCCCTGGTACAAAAATGGTTTCAATAGAAAATACAATCGCATCTATAATAGTCTTGGATTTTATTCTACAATATCATAGTTTAATGATATCTGTTTTGCTTGTGATGTCTTTGTATATAGACTTCTACATTACATTTCTAGGTATGTACTTCTCAAAGAAAAGAACATGTTGTTGACAATGAAGTTGGAAGCAAAAAGGAAGAAGACATTCATGCCTAGTCCAGAAAGAATAGAAAAGGTAAATTAATAAAATAAATATTTTTTGGGGGGTTGGTATCAAACTTACCGGTGGATTTTAATCAAAAGGAAATGGTGATACTTTGTGCAGTAAACATTTCAACAATTTGGTTATCAAAGTTTGGATTTGGATTTATCATTTTACTGTACATGTAATACAGAACATGAAATTATAACTAATAATGTCCATAGAAAATTTTAAGGGGGTGAACTTTGACAATTTGAGAATAGAAGACATTGCATAAATATGAATGAGTTTTTTTTCCTTCTCAGAACCAGATCTGAAAGATGTTTATCAAAGTTTTTGGACAGTCACTTATAGTGGATTTTTTTAATTTTATGAGATCTCACCAAATGTCTGTCGCAAAAATCAAATGATTTAAATTTGAATTTCTTTTTTTGTAGTTCAATGTCGAAATATTGAATATTTAGAGGAAAACATAGCACATTAAGGAAATCAAATCAAATGTTTATAGTACATTGAACGTGAGAATACCAATAATACTTTCACATTTGTTGAATCCCATGTGATGTTTTAATGCCACTACAACGCTGTGACCTTTCTTTATTCTGGTTTTACATACGATTATTCAGAATCTCTAGATGTCCAGAAAATGGATTATGCTTACATCGTGACTGACTGTTTATAATATAGACTGTTGAAAATATGAAATGAAAATGTAATATATCATATTTTAGTTATGGCTAGACAAGAAATGTTAATTCATAACATAACATCGTCTGAAGTCATAACAAACACTAGTATTGGATATATTGCTTTGTGAGAACTAGATAACAAATATTCATATTTCAGGTCATTGCACGAGAATAAAAAATATGTGCGTCACAGCTTTTTAGTCCCTGCTTCAGATAAAGTCTATCTGGAGCCATTTCTCAGACATGCTTTGATCGATCACATTTAAACTTGACGCACTAACCACAGATGATGACTTGCATCTGTACATCAATTTTCATCACAATTTGATCGAGTATGGCTGACTGGCAGCCAGTTTTTGTATATTTCCATCCTGATTCATCACTACACTATATATCACCTGGTTCAGTTGAAAGTTTGCATATAGTAATACCATAGGTTGTGTTATTTGATCAAATTTGGTGAATTGATGGTTATTTGGTCTAAAATCAGTCTGTAAATGTATTTGAATCATTTTTATATTTGGTTTATACATATTGGGTTACAGATACACATTTTAGCAACTATTTTTCTGAGATAGCTTGCATGATTTCATTCAAACTCAGTACACTGATTCTACATACTGTAAAAGGACTAATTTCGCTGGTTTACCATATTCAGTGGGTTTTAAACTCACGGTTTTATCATTTAGATTTTACATATTCACTGGGATCAGCCCATTACAGTTCATTGCTTAACAAACTTTTTTGTACATGTACAGTATGTTCAATAATCTTGTGATATGATCTTTTGATGTCATCTGTCAGACCATGTATTCAAACAACTGTGGTAGTAATAATGTTCATTCTAATTTTGCATACATTTGCATAATTAGTGCAATTAAATTCAACTGTAATAATTAACATACTCATTAATACAATTACCCCACATTTATACAATAATAAGCAATTATAAACTACAGCTGGAGAATATATGAATATTTGCCCTGATTTGACAATTATTTAGTGCGTTGCATCGTCCGAATTGCACAGTTTCGCTAAAGCCGGTCATTCATAACCGGCCCACAGTCGAGGGATTGTGTTTGCAACAAACACGTCATTTTGCTCAGATACAGCTCTAAGTGTTTTCTGATGATAAGGCTAACTATTTGGTTTCATTTTCAATCACTATTATTCAGTTTTACATTGAGAGCACATGGGTGTTATTAAAAAAATATTTAACAACGATTTGACATACAGGTTGAAGAGTCTATGGAGAGGCTAATGCAGGTGGTTGAAGAAAGAAACTGTGCAGTCCGTGAGTTAAAGACGGGTCAAAGAGAAGTAGCACCAAAGATATACACATATAACATGTTTGGAGAAAAGGTGTGGAGAAGATTAAAAGAGTGGCCTATACCATATCACATGAACAGAAAGGTTAGATGTTATTGACTATTTTACTCATTTAGTTGGAATGGCTGAGCTGGGAATTGTATGATGTGGTTTCCATAGTAACCTTGAAACAATTTTTTGTTTGAATATTTATGATCGTTTCAGATATCAGCAAGTGTGTTTTCTTCTGAGTCAACCATTTCTTATTTTCCCAACCTCAACTAAGCAGTGCATGTTCATTCCTTTTTACTACATGTATGCTTGCTCGAAAATCAGGATTTCTCAATAATTATTGAATATATCGATGGCTCCTAAAATAAACATTCAAAAATAGTGATTATATATGCAAGAAATTATTACCGGTTATACATTCTCGCAAATCATGATTTCAATGTTTGTTTTGACATTGTAATTCCATTGTCTGTTTCATTGTAAATTTCAGGTTCAACATGAAAGGTACTCCTACTATCCACTGGTTGTACCGTTCATCCGACGGAGAAAGGAACTCGAACGCAAGAAGCTACGAGTGAAAGCTGTAAAAGAAAAAGCTTACAAAAGACGTTTGAAGCTGAAATTTCCACATGCAGATATAGAAATTTGATCTTTCAATAGCTTTAGCACTGGGATATTCAGTGGAGCAGTTTCTATGTATATTTATATAGTACATGTAGGTGTGGATGTAATGAAAATGGATCCTCTTTATAATGCCAATGTTTCGTTCAAATACCGACCAAACTTTGATCCCTGTTTCATAGTATTGTTGCCAAAAACTATGGGTGAAATATGTACAACAAAAAGCATAAACAAAGACTGAGACAGAAATTTTCACATGGTGATATATAAATTTGAGCTTTCAATATTTTTAGAACTGGGATATTCAGAAGAGTGTTCAATATAGTGTTTTCCCGTTCAAAAAATGGTGCAACTTTGTTCCAGTAATTTTCACTGTATTCAGTCTTAAAATTGAACCAAACAAAAATGTGCCACTGCTTATAGATCTCCAAGATCTTTAGACCCAGACAGAACTTTGCATTAAATCTTGTTTTACACCATTCTCTTTTCTTTAGTTACTGCCATTGGTGTAATGTTACTCGTAAATAAGCACCCATTGTCAACATAAATAAATCTCAGAAGGGGGGAATGTGTTTGACCTGCATTTCGATTGTTTGGGGGATCTACTATCCCGTTTTCTATTGTTCCTGCGACCCCCTCCCCCTTCTTTGATTTGATATGCCCATAAATCCTGTTTGTTACAATTACTACATGTATAAAGTAAAATATGGATGGATGGTTTTATTGTTTCAATAATACAGTCAGTTACTGTTTTAAAATTATAGATGCTTGAGCGCATGTTTTGAAGGATAATAGTGAGAAACAATTGTCTGTACATAGTCTACTCGCTTGGCTTCATATCTGTTCATCACTCTCTCCATGTGGAAGCAATAAGCTGGAGCTTTATACTTTGAAAATTCCAGATTTCTGTATTTTGTACAGAATTTTACTTTTTAAAAAAAAATTCCCATATATACCATATTTGCTCCAACTCATCTCCATAGAAACACAAAACCAAAAATCATATTTCTTTATGCTGGATCATTGAAAAAAAAATCTCTGTAATTTATGTATCAAGCTCATGCAAAAAAACCCTGAATACAGTATATTTGTTTAGAGCTTGTGTGTGTTGATAAATAAAATATAGTGCGTGTACGTGCGTATCATCACATTTAAATGAAACGTTGTACATGGATGCTGTAGGACAATAGACAGACCTAATTAATTGTGGGTTAAAATCTGTACATATTAATTACCTAACCAATTTTAGCCCATCACACTGATATCTAGAGTACAAATTATTCCATTTCAATGAAACTTAGTATAAAGATGCTCTAGGACAATGTACAAACCTGATTAGTTTGGGTCAAAATCTGTTGATATAAATTCTCTAATTAGTATTATAATTCATAATTTTGTGGTT